GTGCAGTTGTGAGCAAAGCATCTCCATTGGAGAAAACTGGGAGATTTCTCCGAACGCGGATGGCCGAGCATGCGGCAACGGTGAGAAATAAAGACACTCAGTCCCAGGTTGCAGCTTACTCGAGGGGAGCCGGCCATATTTTCGAGTTAAGCAAGGCCGAAGTCGTCGCAATAGATGACAACCGCGTGAACCGCAAGATGCTCGAGTCATGGTTCCCAGGCCCACAGTTAATCGAAAAGTGCAATGGTTTGCCGTTCCCATACTGCGTACTGAGACATTGAGCAGGAGAATCAGTCACGTGGAGCGGGTCGGGTCGTGCAACAACTCTGACGACAGTGAACATAATTGTTACGCAATTATCAAGCCCACATCTAACGCGGACCACAAATCGCGGCAACCACTGACTTGGAAGCGGCCTGCCGAGCCATCACCGCACCAATTACGACCCAATGGTTGGTTGCAGAAGCTGATAATTATAGTACACATGCGGATGATTGCTACGAGCTATAAATACCACGCAAGCTGTGTCTGTGTCACACAAACCTACCGTTACCTATAATTAAGGATTCTGTACAGAATCCAAAACGTCGGGAACGTGATATTCTTGCTTAAGTATTTGCATCTTCTTCTTCTAAATTCAATATCGATTAAACAAATCGATTAGACGTCTAAAGTCATGATGTGTGCAGCAGTGCTCCCTTGGATGTAAAATTTTCCAACAGCCAACGGACTCGATTTCGAACCCCGGGGTCCACCTAATGTGGGCTGTTGAGTATAAATACATCAGCGCCCATCACGTTAGCCTGTCTTATCCTTTTCGATGGCAGATTTCAAAAGTTGTACAGGAAAGTACCAGAGGACAGCTGGATATTGTTGGACTGGGGGAGGGGGAAGCATTTTTTAATGCCTGGATTTGGGGTGAAAAGCGAGCATTCATGTTTTATAACTATTTCATTTTTTCTTTATATCCATGTATTTCTTATCATTTTGTTACCGACTGGGAGGTCAAAGGCGTTCGCTTGTTTTTCCCTCAATAAACTGATACCCATGTTAAAATGCAAGTCCATAGTTCTACTTGCGAGAATATTCACCAGAAAAAATTCTACTTTTTCATTCGAGTCCTCGTGTCCTCTACGCACTTTTTGTCAGTTCCCATGCTACATCCATTGCCTGCCTTCGTGCCTGGGAACGGGACCGAGTCAGTTGACAGAAGGTTTGTCAAGCGATCCGGCTAGAGGACAGGGAACTGGATTGTTCTTCTGCGAAAAACTAAGAAAATTACCGAGTGGAAAATTCAAAAGATTAATTGGCGAGCATGCGTTTGCTTTCGATAACTGCTCTTTCGACCTGCACAGTTATATGGTAATAAAATAACTATCTTCTGCGAAAATTCCCATTTCATGATTGAAAATTCACATTGGCAAACATATGTTTTCGGCAAATCATCAGCGGGCCAGTACAATGCAAGGGCAGAAATGTTCTGTCATAGGTAGTGTAGTTCTTAAATGGTTCGCGGGGTAGGGGACCATTTCTGTACTTGCATTGTACTGGCCCGCTGATGAATTGCCGAAAACA